CTGGATCAGTAATAATAATAATAATAATTTATAAATATCTAAAAACAGTACAATATAACAAAATAGTACCACAAATATGATAAATATACACAAACATAAATTATATTAAGCATTAAATTACTTAAAATATCTATTCATTTCAATAGGAATAGATTATGGCTCGGTATTACGATAATTGCGCAGAAAATGTCAGAGAAAACAAAACAAAACCCATGAGATAATCATCAAATAATTGTGGAAAATGGTCCCGAAGATCACGCCGCCTTTACCGATTGTTTTACACAGGTAGTGCGATTTTCCCGCGCCGGTGATCACCGTGAAAATAACAATACGAGCGCAGTCACGCGAGATAACACCCTGTAGAACTACGATACGTTGTATGTTGCGCAGAACGCGTCTTTTATTGTAGCCCCGACACAGCGTCGTCGACATATCGGAGAAAAATTTTTATATTTTTCGTATAATAATAATCCGCACCGACCGAGATTTACGATTTTTAAATGAAGTTAGCAGAGACGGCGGTCGTAAAAACGGCTGTTTTTCGACCAGCCATAAACCGTTCTATCCCGATATGGCGGATAATAAAGAACGCGAGGGAAATAATTTTTATTGCAGCGAGAAAAGATAAAATTAGACGGAAAATCGCAAGGCTGCAAGAAGACAAAACGTAACTTTCGACTTGAAAGGACACACACGTGCTACACTTTGTGTCAAGGTACTTTTGTGTACGGCAGGAATTCATTTTAGAGGCCGACTTTGATGTTGGCGATGCGTTATCTGTTTTTGGCTTTTTTCTAACAGACTCCTTCCGAAGCTGGCGGGTTTAATCTTGCCGTAGGTCGTATAGCGATATTATCGACACAAAGTGGAGATATTACGACATGGATGTTCTGGTAGGTGCGAATGAAAGCGTAGGTAATTCAAACAATTCAGGTGGTAAAACCATATCGTATTATTGCTACCTAAAGCAAACATTTTAAAATGTGTCATTTTTTAAAATTTATCAGTGTGGTTTCATCAACGACAAGTTAAAAAATCCTTTCCAAACATGACCCGATACACCTAACATGTTATTCCATGAAGTGATGTAACACCGTACGTTTGAGAGTACTAAATCTAAGTATCTACCATTGATATTGGCTACGCTGGTACATTGTTTAAGATCGAGAAAATTTAAAAATGAAGTTAAGATAGTTTGTTATTCTTATTAGCAAAAACGACGTCTACTAACTAAGTTTGTGTGATATTCTGGTGTATATTAAAATCCCCAATAATTAAAATACATATGTTGATCATGTAGGAGAATCCATTAATACTGTTTTTGGTTGAACATACGTTACAAAAATAGAGAAGAAAGAATGGTCATAGAAACATTTAGCACCGATAATGTCAACCGAGTTCAATTTATCAAAACCGTGGGAAGTCTATTTGACTTGTCGAACAATGCAATTAATACTCCACCGCCTCTAGTAAGATTTAGTTTGTGAAATCTCCTGGCAAATCTAAGAATATTGAAATTCAAAGGGCAGAACTCAGAATTGCTAACCGAGTCATTAAGGCACGTTTCCGAAAGACATATAATATCAAAACTACAAGATAGTAAAGAATTATAGAGATCATTTAATTTTGAATTGATACCACTAGTGTTTTGATAATAAATGTAAAAAGAATATGGGATAGAGGTGAAAGAAGGATTATTTGTCGAAAGAGAAGATGCAGCATAAGAAGAATTAATTACATCACCACCAGAATTTAACTGGGATTCATGAGAATCAGAAGGCTCAGGGATCACAAACAAAGGTGGTTGGTATATTGAAATGCCATTGTATGTTAGTATTATGTTGTGTGTGTTATGGCTTCATTGGTGTGTTTCTTTATAAGAATGATCTCTGGTCTGTTGGCTGTATTTTTCCTGCACGTAAGTATTGTGCGATCCCAATATAGCTTGTATTCGGTATTTTCAAGGAATGGAGACGGAATGTAAGTGTAATAGGGTGTAGTATCTTGAATTAAGTTTAGATTAATTTGTTGCTAACTCTTTGGCTGCGTTTTCGTGTTTAGATTTGAAGTCAGTTTGTGCCAGGATGCTACAGAGTTTTTCTTTACAAAATCGATAACAATTGTTTCTTATATTTGGATCTTTGATTATACTTAAATTTTCTGCAATTCTTAGTATTAATTACTTGGTATTGAATAGCAAACAAATACCCTTCAGTTTCGACATATAATAGATATTTATTTTATTAGGAGTTTAAGTGATACTTTATGTGTCGAGTATGAACGATTAAACGCCGAGCGATAGCGAGGCGAATTAAGTCCATACGAGTCACATGAAGTCACTTAAACTCCGAATGAAATACAATATTTTATTTTCAAACGACTAATCTTCTTTTGAAATGATTATTTCCTATCTTCTTGCTTCATTAAGGAATTGCCTTGATTTCACTTACCATGGTTACTATGGTTGACAACCACTATGATTTTCACATATTTATACTCCGGCGGAGTATAAATGTTGTATTTATACGCCGGCGGAGTATAAGTAGTACTTATACGCCGCTCAAACACGGTGTCATAGAAATGACACTTAAACCCCGGTAAGAGCGTCATATAAGCGTCGGTTATATGACGTTTGAAAATAAACTTAATTTTTTGAAATTTTCTTGTTGATGTAAGTCTCGTATAGCTCTTTGAAGATTTTCCATGCAGTTGTTTTTGTTTTAGTCGACTTATTCTGTTGTCTAGTTAGTGGGCTGTGAGGATTTCTTCGGTATTGGATAAATTTAAGGGTGTGTGGTTCAAGTCAGCCCTTGCTATGGCACGAAATAGTTCGTTTCTTTCTGTGCGTTTCAGGAAATATTTCTTTAGTTCCGAAACTCATCTCTTGTATAAATTTTCTAAGTCCTAGAATCCCCTTCCTCCGTTCTGTCTTGGTAATGAAAATCTCTCAGTTGATGACTTCGAATGATGTCTTCTATATTATAGGAATGATTTTCTTGTTGAGATGATTAATTATCACAAAAGAATATTATTATTATTATTATTTTGGTGCGATCGGGCAGAGGCACTGCCTGTTATGCCCGCGCTAATCAAGTGATTGGTGGCTAGAATGATAAAATCTGGAAGAGAAGAAATTTCTTAAACATTGTAGGCGTCATATTTGCGTTTGAAACTGGAAATTGAATCCCACATTACAATGTCGGAGGGTAGAGAATTCCATTATTCGAAAATTCTGTTTACGATAAAGTGTTGTCTAACGGTGGTCTGAAATTTATCTTTGGACAGTTTTAGGCAGTGTCCTCTAGTTCTACTGTTATGTGCTAATGGAAACAGGTGTTTAATAGGAGACAGAGGAGCTTTTAAGGCTTGAAACGTAACAATTAGATCTCCTCTCTTACGACGATCAGAGAGCGTAGGAAGCTGCATCATAGATAATCTGTACTTGTATTTTGGACGAGTATGTGCAAACGGGATTCTTGATGCTTTTCTTTGCACTGACTCGAGCAACAGCACATCCTTTTGGAATATAGGAGCCCAGACACTATTAGCAAACTCGAGGATGGGTCTAATATAGGTCCTATAAAATTCACTGACGACGCTAAAGTGACTTTTTGCAAATACTTTACTTAGGAAAAACACCAGTGAATTTGCCTTTTTTACAACACGCTGAACATGCTCAGACCAAGATAGGCAAGAAGTCATGAACACCCCTAAATCCGATAGTGATTCCGATTTTATTAACTTGGAATTATCAATGGTATACGTATGTTGCGGGTTATTTTTACCAATATATAGAACCAAACATTTAGATACGTTTAGAGGTAGTAACCAGGCAGAGCACCATTCGCCGATAACTGACAAGTCGCTTTTCAGGATAGACTGATTGTTGCTGGTGTTGTATATCTTTATATCATCAGCATACCTGGCGAAAGGTGATTGAATAATAACTTTTAAATCAGCGGTGTATGCTATGAACAATAGTGGACCCAAAATCGATCCTTGAGGTACACCACTCAGGACCGGTCTATGCTCGCTTAGGTCGTCACCAACCCTCACTCTAAACGTACGATCGGACAAAAAGGTGCCAATCCAATGAAGTAGATTCCCCGCTATTCCAAGATTTTCAAGCTTGGCTAAAAGCCGGCGTTTGGGAACCCTATCGAAAGCTTTGGAATAATCCAAGTATACAACATCAACTGGAACTCCAGAATCATAATGCCGGGTCCAGTTTGAGAGACAACAAAGGAGATTCGAAATTGTGGACTTGCCGCGAAGAAAACCGTGCTGTTCTTCCGGAATAAGATGTTAATCCAATAGGAACTTAATAAGAGTTTCGTAGATTATAGACTCCATGGTTTTAACAATGAGGGAGGTCAGACTAATGGGCCGATAATTACAGGGATTGAACTTATCTCCCTTCTTAAAGATAGGTCTCACGATTGCTGTTTTCCAATCAAAAGGCAAGATGCCTGAAGTAAATGATTATTTCATTAAGAGACTCAGAGGTAGAGAAAGACATTCGACACAGTGGGCCACAACGGAAGCAGTAATTGCGTCCCGCCCAGGGGATTTAGAAAGTTTTAGTTTCTTCAACTTACTACAAATGACATCTTCAGGGAACTCAATACTATCGAGGAAGACATTCGGCATGGGTATTATTGCACTTGGCAATGTACTGTCAGTTTCAAGAGTGAAAGTTTTAGAAAATGTGTCTCCGAAAATATTTACAACAGTAGCACAGTCATCGGTGATTTTGTCGTCGTCGTCTCTTAATTGAAGAGTCGACAGGGGCCCAGAAAGTTTATTACGAATATGTCTGTAAAAACGTCTGTTGAGTCGGCAAGTTGCTTCTCGTATGCGATTCGAGCTTCTCTAATTATGACTGAAAGATTATTGGAAAAATTACGATGTGCTTTGTAGTCGTTTTGATTTCCTGATCTCTTAAATGCTCGCCATAGAGCTCGTTTAGTTCTTACCATTTTTAGATTTTCTTTATCAATTCATGGTTTAGTTGAGGATCTTTTGATGCTAATACTAGAGGAGTGTTTACACACGAGGTCGAGCACTGTGGTCTTAAATAATTCCCAGTTATCTGCGATCGAGCAGGTAACGAACAACGACGGCCAGTGAACATCGGTTAAGGCCTTATATTTTATGTTGGCAGTGGAACACATTTACTGCTTTCATTAAATTCGTTCCATTCAACTGTGTCATTAAAATTAATTTTAATCTTGCCAGATATTGTTCTTTGTGTTTTGTCAATATGGAATGACTGATGAAGAGTCCAGATATGTGTTTGTTTCGTTTTGTTCCTGGGTTTCGATTATTTCGTTATTCTGGGTTATATATGGTATTTATTGTTGAACACCTTTTCTGATTACTTGAGTCTTACATTTCTCAACACCGAAGCTCATCTCAATGTCATCCGAAAACTCTTTTAGATTTATTTGATTTCTCAATTGATTTTTCGTAGTTCCATATATTTGTATATCAACCACATATAGCAAGTGACTTAACCTACTCCCTGTTTTGGTGTTAATTCTTATATTGAAACCATAATTGCAACTGTTCAAGAGGCCGGAAAGAGGATTTATTGCCAAACGGAACCAGGGAATCGCCTTGAAAGATTCCTCTTCTGATTATCATTGGATCTGATTGAATTTTTTTGATCATTTAAAGTTAGTTGAGGGATGGTTTTCTAAAATTCCATTGAATATTTGAGAAGAGCATACATTTTAGGATCAACTTTGTATAATTCCACTTGTCTTGTATAAAGAGTTTACCAAATTAGTTAAAATGTTGTCAATACATCCAGTTGATCTCGTAAACTGAGAAATAGTGACCCTAATTCTAAACGAGTCAATAAGACACCTAAAATTAGTTAAGAATTCAGAACTTTTCTCATAAGCTATCTTATAATAATAATCAATAAAAGCAGTATATATGTTTTTGTTTTCTCTCCTAGCTTGTTTATAGATGATGGAATCAATGATCAACTGCTCTTTGCAATCAAGGGATCCGTTAATATATCCTTTTTGTTCTTCGTTCATGATTGAAAACGATGTTGACAAATTTTGTGTGTTATGCATGAGATTACTTAGTATTTTGTAAATAGTAGGCAAAAGATATGTTACACCATGACATAAAAATGTTGGAAATGTGGCTAGGTTAAGAAATAAATGGTGTTTTAGTAAATGAGTGTGTACACAATGCCTTATTTTAATAGGTACTAGCCCCGCCTACTCACCCTCTCTTATTTTAGAGGGTATCTCATTAGCCAAAATCGGTCTTACTTTAGCAGCTAAGCTGCCAAGATAAGACTGATTTTGAGAAATGACATAACCTTCTTTTAATATCAATATTGGACGCATGTAAGCAATGAAAGTGGTGGTCTAACTCCTGTGTGTACGTGTGTACGTTGACCTAGTTGTTTTCTAATGTTATTAATTTTATATTTTAATCTTGTATTACTATTTATTATGTCTTTGCATATATTGATTTGAATATAAACTAAAGCTGCATATTTTCATTTTGGAAATTTATGTAGAATTTAAGGGTGCTATTTACTGTTCTGATCGATGAATTTTTATTGTTAAAACATGTGTTATTATTATTTGTTGCACATAATGAATGAATACCGTGTTATGTGTTGTAATTTACTTGGGGTGTTAATTTGACAGTTGTGAGTGTTTGAATAATAATAATTATTAATATTATTGTTAGTGATACTCCCAGGTGAAACATTCCAAAATTTCTCCTAAATACACTTGTGAAATATCGTTGCAAAATATTTGAATTTATTTTAAATCTAAATTTGGATTTTCGCATCGCTGGCTAACTATCGACAAAACTTTTAGATTTTTTTTTTAATATAGAGCACCATTCTTATGATTTACCCGTGTAAAAGTTTGGGGATCAATTTCATATAGAAATATCAGCAAATTATTTTTCAATGACTTTTTCAAGGAGCCGAACGTCCAGTCAATTCCGACCCACATATTTATAGACGTGAACGTACCTTTGACAAACCCTGCATGATAAACGTCTATTAATAAAACCAGTCCAATCTCTTACATCAAACTTTTGCAATTTTTTATCCATTGTGTCTGCATTGTTCTAGTTTCAGTTAGCGGTAACAATGCTCGCTTTGTGTGCTTTTTACAATGCACAAACGTCTTAATTTTGCATGTCGTACGGTCGGCCGCGTTCGAAAGCCTCCACAGCTCGTATATTTTTTGTTGTGCTGCGAATAATTCCCGTATCTTTCATTGTTCTGGCGATAGAGAGACGAAATATCGAGAGGTGGATGTGTGTGTAGGTGCGGCAGCTTCTTGCTTTTTAGTTTTTGGTGCGGACTTTTGGAGTTCACGATGCGGAAATAACAACGAACGGACCGGGAAAGCAGATGGACGACTCCACCGTTGAATCTACACAATATGAGCACCCTGCGTTCGTCGTTCAACTCCACTCATGAGTAAACGCGAGATCTCTCAAAAGCTTTCTTGTAAACTAGTAGCGCTCTTTCTCGACAATATATAGCGTCCACATCGCTGAATTATTACCAATATCGAAAACGGATTTGCTAACGTTAAAAAAAATCCTTTCCATTTTTTGATGACAACTGAAAGTGATAATCGACTTTCAGCATGAGTATTAGCAGTTCTTAAGGTTCTTATATTTTTGTAATGTCTTGTGTGGTCGCATAATTTTATGTTTGTTAGGTATATTTCTAAATTCAACAAGTTTAGCTAAACGGGATTTTGGGTATGCTGTTGATAGCACTGTATTTTCATGGATTGTTATGAACCCCCGTAAACCTTACTTCAAGCGGAATATTAACGTCAAACTAGAATTATTTTAGAAGTTGCTGAAACGAATAATTTATTTTTCAATTTATTGTTAAATGTTTGTATGGTATGCGATGATTGAAGGTGTGTGGACGTAAATTTACCTTTATAATAAATAAACATGTTGTTCTAGAATAACTGTCAGTATCTACCAAAATATTTATGTAGTTTTGAATGTTAATAAAATGAACAATAAACAGCTCAGCAAAACTTCTTAATAATAAATCAAACTGTTCCATGAAGGCACAATGCGATTGCTGACAAAGTTTGTCCTGCATTTGTTGGTAGTTCGTTCTCGAATTAGATTAAAGTTGTGGTGACGTAATCAATCGTTCGTCAACATTGATGTGGTATAACTATGAAAAGTCAACAGCCAATTGATGGTAAAGAATACTGCATGTAAAGATTGAATCGACACGTATCTTCCTGTCGTAAAATGGTGTCAGCTTAAATTGGGAGAGTCATTGGTTATACTGAGGCCTGTCTGATTTAAATGGCATTCGCGTACATATGTTGTTGAAAGAGGATTCTATATATTAAAAAAAAAAACACAAAAATTAAACCCCACCCACCCGCCCCCATCTCAATTGTTATAAGTTTTTCATTCCTAATCAGACGAAGGGCGGAATTGTAACATCAATATTACTCTAAAAAATTCTACTCATTTAAAAACATATTTCATATGGTAATTTCTTGTACAGACATGAGGAATTTGCAGCTAAACTCCGCCCTTCAGCTCACAATGAATAAAATATTCATCAGAATTTAGACGGGGTGGGTGGGCGGGGCTTATATTTGGTCCATTTTCCTTAATATACGTAGTCTTCGTTTCGCAACAAGAAATTGACAATATGTTTAACTATCCTATTGTTGAAAGATAACTCTATATTAAAAAAAAAAAGTAAGCCCCACCCACCCGCCCGGATTCCAATTGTGATGAGTTTTTAAAGGCAGAGTTTAATTGTAACATCAATATTTCTCTAAAAAATTCTACCTTTTTAAAAACATATTTCATATGGTAATTTCTTGTAGAAAAATGAGGAATTTGCAACTAAATTCCGCCCTTCAGCGCACGATGAATAAAGCCTTCATAACAATTGAGAAGGGGTGGGTGGGCGGGGCATATATTTGGTCCGGTTTTTATTAATATACGAAGTCTTCATTTCCCAATAAGAAACTGATAACATGTTTAATTATCCTGTTGTTGAAAGGGAATTCTATATATTAAAAAGAAAAACAAAAGTTTTTTCTTGCGTTTGCTACAGAAAGTTCTCCAAATGCTTTTGGAAGCAGATATAACTGACCATTTGCTTTCTTGCTAAAACTGTTAATATGTTGTGACCAAGATAAATTTTGTGTTATTATTATTCCGAGATCGCAATGACATGTTCCAAATTTTAAAAATTGCCCATTTATTGTATATCTATGGAAAGCATTATTTGAACCCAAATGAAGAATGCTAGATTTATTCTTGTTTATAGGAAATAGCCACGTTTCGCTCCATTTATCTATTACCTCCGAATCCCTTTGTATGGCTGCGTGATGTTATGAATAGTTGTAGATTTTTGTGTTGTCAGTGACGTCAGCAAATAATGAACAAGTAGATAACGCTAGCGAGGGAAGCTCAGCAGTACACCTTACGAATAGTAGACGACCCAGAACTGATCCCTGTGGAACTCCACTGACGACAGGTTTGTGACTGGATAGACTAGGGCCTACCCTTACTTGGACGGTACGAGAGAAAAGTTACTCTCTGTGCCGTATGACTCCAATTTTGAAAGTATCCGTCGAATATCTTATCATAGGCTCTAGAGAAGTCTAAACAGATAATGTCTATAGGCAGCTTATCATTTAACACCAAGGACCAGTCATTAACGCATTCTAAATTAGTGGTTGTCGATTTACCGGCTACAAAACCGTGTTGTTTGTTGGGAATCGAGTGGTGGGTTATGGAGAAACTATTATGGCTTCTTTAATTATTTGTTCCATGAGTTTGCATCAAATGCATAACAAGTTAATGTATTGGAGTGGTTATTGAAGTTAGCCATTCGTAAGGAAGAACTTGGGAGTGAAAAGATGAAATCATGATCAATAGTAGTGGACCTACTTTCTGACGCACATTCCTTTAAATTAAGTGAGGTGATATTGTCTACTTCAGGTGCTGAATTCGTATCAAGTTTTGCAATACAGTATTTTATTTTTTCTTCGGAAAAAGTAACTTGATCAAGAATTGCATGGTCAGGCGCAAATGGTATTTTTGGTAAGAGTCCAGATAATTCTGCAGTGTATGAATGAGATAGGCAGTCAGCCAGAAGATTGGCAACTTCAGTTTTACTGTTGGATAATTCCATGTGACTCCTACGCAGCATTAGGATACTTACTTTTAATGCGTGTTTCGACGAACATGTTCGTACAATATCTTAGGGTTATTACTGTTAATGATTTAGTTTAAAACATAGTTGGAATATTATCTGTGTATGGAGAAATTTTGTTGTGTTTTATTCTGAAGAAATTTTTGCCAAAGACGCTTCTTATACCTGGTTAAACGAATCAAGGACGGTGTAATCCACAGTTTTGTTGTATTATTATTCACAATTTGTGATCGTGTGTGTTCATCTACCGTTGCTTTGAAAGTTTTGGAGAAAGATAGGGTTTCTATACGAACTGAATAGGGTAATATTGTCTGCGTGGGTAGTAGAGGGGGGCGTATAAATACATGCTAAACAGAATTTTAAGTTGGAAGAGTGGATTTTCAAAGCAACAGATTCGTAACCTGGAGAGTTGAATTTGTAGCTTTGGAAAAAATCATGCATTGTCCCATATTTAAGTCTGGAGATACAACCAAACTACAAACTCGTAAGTTTATTATGTAATTTCGAGAAGATATTTAAATCAGTGATCTGTGAGCAAATTTATGCATCTGTAAAATGTTTTATAACACCATACAAAGATGGTTTTTTCGAAAAGAGATCAACTGTGACAAATCTGGCTTATTTTTCACAATACGTTTTATACTTTATTGATAATAGAAGTCAAGTAGACGCTGAATATACCTACTTTTCTAAAGTCTACGATCAGATCGATTACTTTATCATTTTAGACAAACTGCGACAATTTAGGGCTTTCCGAGTCATTAATTACTTAAAATATTCAGTTCGTATCCTATTAATGGTAAAGTGCAGAAAATATGGTATAGTAACTGT